GTTCTATTTAGAGCCACTTCGTGATTAATGTGAAGATATTTTGTGTTCTAATTGTTCACTTTCTACTAACACAGATTTTGCATCAATTTTAATTTAAAAAAACATATATAAATGCAATTTTTTTGGAATTTTATGAGTGGGTTTCACACACATAGTTCTCAAACACTTTATTCAGACAAACACATCTAGAAGATTCAGCTATTGAAGCCCACATTGGCCTTATCCTTGTTAGTTATATTTTTCTCGCGTACCTGAAGTCAAGATTTTTTGTTTTAAATTAAGAGAAAAGATTCTGTTTAAGATTAACGTATTTTTGGAATATTAAATCTTCTTTAAATATTGCGCCGAATTTTCTTTGAATAATGAGATGGGATATTTGCAGTATATTCCATAAGAACATTTATAGTAATTCCTTTTTTTGCAAAAACAACAATTGCTACAAGATTTTACAAAGAGCCCGAAAATGTCCAAAAAGGATCAGTGCATCAACTCAAAACAACTCAGTTAATTCCAGCTACCAAATAAAAAGTTCTGGTCGTTTTTGGACCAAGACAGTCCAGAATTTATCCCTTGCCTAAATCCAGGTATTTTTTTTAATACAAGTTAGGTCAGATGGTCTTCTTTTCATCCAAAGAATTGGCCCACGGGACGCCCTGTATATATCCAAATAAAATTGTGCGCAACTTCCCCAAACATTTCATGTTATCTGGGCATACTTAATATTTACTTTGTGTCCTTTTCAGATGAAGATGGTCCTGAAGACATTCCCTCTAACCCCAACCAGACTGGATCTCGTGGACATGAACTGCAGCCATCCACTCCCGAATTGCGCTTAATTCGGCTCTTCTCGCTTCTTCAGCGGCGGTTCCACCAGCAGGCGGGTTTCTTCGGCTGATTGTCGCCGATCTTCGGCGTCTTTAAACGTCGCGGTGTCGACGCCAAACATGGCGGCAACGGCGAGACGCCGACCTGGAGGAAGCGGCGACTCTGCCGAAGACGACATTGCCGCCATTGCCAAGCAGATTTCCGACACGGCTGAGGTCATCTACCAGAACTGGAAGTCCAGGAATTTGGCTCCTGCCGATTTGATCACCTGCCATGCTGCTGGTGATCCTGCCAAGTTGGGGTAGGAATCTTCTTGGTCTTCTGCATCATTCTTTCTTGAATGTTTCCATTGATGGTCATGAATAATTTTAATGGATCAGGCACTTAAGCCAATGTTAAGTCTCAAAGTTTATTGGCTGATTTTGAAAATCTTTTTTTTTGTTGAACACAATAAGGCAACTTGCTGCTTTCATCTTCGAAATGTTTTAAACGGATCTATTGGTTGTAAGGAAAGTTGAGCGAAAACATGATTGAAATCAATGTTCCAGTTAAAACGAATTTTTTTTACGGCAAAATTAATGTATTTGGCTCGACGGTGCTCAAAGCAACAAAAATCGAAATTTACTCGAAACAAAGTTCAAGCAGTTTTTTTATAGTCGCTTTATATTTTTAACCCGGTTTTGATGCATTCAATTTTCTAAACTTAGTTAGGTACACTGATTTTCCTTAAAGCACAATATTTTGCCATCAAAAGTGGCACAAAAAAATAAAAGTGAAGAAAGAAATAAAACTGATACAAGCATGATTAAAAGCAAAAAATAATTATTTGTTCGTTAAAAGTCGATAATATTTTGGACTATCTGACCGTACTGGAAATGCAAAATGCTCTCTTAACAAACTTGACAAAACACATTTTTTGGCTGGCATATTTTGGCTTCGAGAAATGTAAATTTGTGAGGTAAAATACATTAATTCGAAATCAATGGAACGATCTATAGAAAATTTTTATTTGTATGAAAAAAATATTTCATCTCAATATTAAAGAATCAGTTCTTCTCAAGCAGTTTTGCATCAAAATGCAGGTTTTCTAGAAAGCAAATCTAATTTAAGAGATATTTTGAGCGAAAAAACGAGCCGTCGAACGAACTAGTATGCGCTCACTTTTCTTAGTATATCCACTAAAAACTGTAACATTAACGATAAAATGCAGCAATGGATGTGTAATATACAAGGTGAGTTAGTTTATACCAGAAGCTCTGGCATAGAGAGTGACAAAGTTTCGGAACTTTATAGCCTTTTCCACCTCACTTCTCTTAATTTTTGAATTATTTAATAATTTTTGCCTCAGATCTCGCATGGGAACTCACCAGCTTTGACATGAAGGGAACGAACCGAAAACATACAGGGTGATGTTTTTTTGGTGGTCAAGGCGTCTTTTGCCCCTCAGAAACTTTTCTGCTGCGCCATTGATTGCATTCGATTTTAGAAAATATTTAGTTTTTTGCATTTTTATCCTAGCTTTTACCGTTAACGAGTAATTTGAAAAAAGTCTGACAACGTTTTATTAAAAAAAAATGTTTTATGAAACTAAAACCTGAACAAATTTTCCGATTTGCATGTAAAATTATTTGTGCGGTTACTGCACACAGCTAGTGAATGTAACTCGGGTTTGAATTTTTCGCTTCTTCTTCTTCTTCTTCAGACCTCCTGTTCTAAACTTTAAATGAAAATTAAAAGAATAAGTCAAAAATAATAAAAAAAAGTTTTTGGTGCGTGAAAGGAGTATCTATACATAAATGTAATAAATAGTTTCAGGCGCGAGTTCGCAAAATGATGAAAGAAATAATCGAAATTTTTAACCGAAAAGAGCCAAAAGAAGCCGCCTATCAAATAATACTTTGTTTAAAAGTGAAGGGCATAATATTAATTAAACGGTATTTGCAAATGGTCCAGTAAGTTGCGATTAAAAGAAGACCACAAAATCAAACAAAATAAGCAAAGTTAGAGTTGTTTTTGTTGTCAAAATGTTTACTCTTTAAAAAATTGAAGAGCCCCCTTTCTGTCAACCCAAAATTACACTTAAATCATAATTTTGTATGCAATTTCAACTACAACTTGCAGTGCCTTAGTAAAGTTTAAAGTAAAGTGAAAAGAACACGATAAACATTAAAAGACATCAGAAATTTTCCAACAGTTCATTTCAACAACCCCATAGAATAATTATCGATGGCCATTCATGAACGTAAAGGTTTTTCACCTCAAACGTGTATTTTCGTACGTCCAAACATGCATATACGTGGGGGGATGAAAATTCCATTTACTGTATGCCTTCGTGCCATTAAGTTAAAACACCCTACGTGCAACTATGTGTTCGGTTCCCTCAGGGCTCACCATCGATCTAATTTACTTTTCTATCGTATTTCTTGTAGAAGGAAAACGAATCGCCCGTAATATATCATACGTGTTCACATGGGATTGTTGGAATAATTCACATATGGGGTGTCAGTATAGGAGTCAAATATTGAAAGACCTTTGGGTAGTTTTGAAGTTAAAAATCCTGAAGGTTTTGATGAGAATACCGAAGGTGTTGCGATGCATGGGATAATGTTTATTTTGTCAATTTAATTAGCAAAATTAAAATGAAATATATACAGTATCTCAATCATAATACACCTCACTAGATTTAACATAGAAAAGCATTATTATAAAAGTCTCATAGACTCCAATAAATAAATCCACTGAGTTTATTTTCGGACTTTCTTCGAGGATGTATAAACTAGTCCAGTCGCCTCTGTCGTATCTCCCATGACGCTCCGTGTTTTTTGGTGTCGAATCGAGACGAAACGTGTCAAAACTGATAGGAAATTACAATAAATTAACGAGACTAACACGATTTCATTGCGGAATAATTTCGAAGTCAAAGTATGTGGCGGCACTTTTTGAAAATGTAAAAATAGTGCGAGAAAAAGTTTGAAACAGTGCATGGGAACGATTGTGTAACGGGATTTCGGTGATGTTTCGTCAATCCAGGCTGTGGATAAATTCGGTTTTAGTGCTGATAAATAAATAAAAACGATTGATTTGACAATGAATAGAGCATTTCATCAGGTTATTAATATGCGGTTTATAGTAAAGGATTTGGATGTTTGTTTGTTGAGACAATTTATTATCTGATTATTTTGAGAAGTTTATTTATCTGGATGCTTCAAAATCCAACATAATACTTCCATAATTAATTCTAGAGGAAAACTTACCTTTCTGTCCGTCTCCTCGCCATTCTAACTAGGAATTTCAGCAATTTTCTTTGACTTGGACTGTTTATGCATTAGCAAAATTTATATTCTGCCAAGTCCAGACAATCATCATCAAAGACGAATTTTCCGAAATGAATTTGATCTAATTTTCCGCACTGTCTCTGAGAATCTAAATCGGTCCCGAATTTACGTTGAGTAGATTGTGTGTGTGTGTGAGTATGTAAAGCGCAACGGTTCAAAAATAGCCCCGGATTCCACATAGGATATGACCAGGATGAAAGCGAGCCACGAGGTGAGTGGATTTTATGAGTTTTATCGAGAGATGAACATTTTATTCAATCGTTAAGTTGAGAACTTGATTTTTTTTCTTTGGCGTGTTTAGTCTGCCATTAAAACCGACCTGTGAACGTGGTTAAGGCCCAATTCAACCACGAATCTGATTATTTACCTTAGGAAAAGCTAATCGGTTGTTGAAGACGATTAAAGACCTCTCCCTTGACCAGTTTCATAAATTGGCTTATATTGAACGACAGCACTAAGGATGTGCAAAATCAATTTGCTTTCGTTGTTACAAATTTAAAAAATGGTAAAAATAATGAAATTTATATACACGACATGTACAGCTGCTGCTAGCAGTCAATGTGCGAAAACGATAATCATTAAATAATAGGTCGTTATTTTTTTGAAGCTATTAATTTTTACGTTCCACATGCTTTGGAAAGCTTCCAAGTGGATGCTCGGAAAATGGGAATTTCCCTAAATAAAATACGGGAACATGTATAAGCAAACGGGAAGGCGCAAAGCCATGTTAAGACTGAAATAAGTTTTGATGTGGGCCATGATTTTCGTGTACTCATTCATTAAATTATGAAATGCAGAAATTATAAATAAGGAAACTTTCAATGGGCGTCTGGATTAGGCACCTGATACCATACAGGCTTTTAAGGATTGTTTTTGGTTTATGATTTTTTTTGTTCGTTTTCTTTCGGTCTAGATCAAAACTACTTGAATATGTTCTGGTAATGTAATGCTTTTTTGCTGGATTACTGCAATAAGCATAGATGAAGATGGAGCACGGTTGGTCACAGTTTTTTAACGGCGCTCCCTGCTTTAAAATTCGTATCTGCGAAACTAATGCAAGCTGCAATTTGATATTTTCACCGAACTTTAAACGAAACTTGAGTCTGTCGATGCTGAAAGTTTCATTGAATTTCCTTGCAATCGGCAAGAATTCAGGGTTTTTTAAGGTTTGCACTCAACTGCGCTTTATGCTCTAAAAATTCGTACCTGCCCAACTAAGGCAATTAGCAATTTCCTATATCACCATCTTCAAAAGAAACTTAACTCTTGTGATGCTCAAAGTTTCATTGAATTCGTCAAGAATCCTGATTTTCTCCAACTTAGAAAGTACCGATCTGAAAATGAACAATTTTCCACAATTGCACACTTTTCACAGGACTCTTACCGATGCTGCAAGTTTCATTGATTTTGCCGCAAATCCTGAGTTTTGCCAGTTGAATAAATACTGATGCCAAAATGGAAGCTTTTACTCAACTGCGATCTCTTATTAAAAACCTCGCATCATCAAACTAAGGCAATCAGCAACTTTAAACTTTCTGGATCTGCAGCCGATACGTGACTCTATATATGAAAGTTTCCTAAAAATCGACCAAAATTCGGATTTTTGCTAGCCAGTAAATTCCTTCGTCTATACCAAATTGCGATCCCTGCTTTAAAAATTCGTATCTTCCGGATTAATCCAGGTAGCAACTTGATGTTTTCACCATCTTTAAAAGAAACTGGACTCTACAGATGCTGAAAATTTTATTGAATTCCCCCAAAATCCTTGATTTTCTCCATGTTAATGCAAACTGATCTCAAAATGGATGCTTTTACTCATCTGCGCTCTCTTCTTAAAAAATCGCATCTACCAAACTACAGCAACTAGCAGCTTGAAACTTTCACCATCTTTAACCAAAGCTCCGGTATCCTTATGCCGAAAGCTTAATGAAAAACGCTTAAATTCCCGATTTTTGTCAGCTTGGCAAGAACCGATTTCAAAGGCTGTTTCTCATCTGCGCTGTTTTCTTTAAAAATAAAAAAAATCCTGACGACAGATGCTGAGTCGCATTGAAAGTGCTTTAAATCTCATCACAATCAATGTTGGTTTCGCATTCAAAACATTTCTTAACAGTTCAACATCTGATTAAATAAATGCTTGTTTCTTTCAGATCAATGTTGAAGCCTCAGCCACCGGCAAAGCCGTCGATGGACTTGCTGGCCCAGGCGCCCAGCATGGACAATAATCGGCTGGAGAAGTTGGTGAAGAATTTCGTGCACGAAGACAAGGCGAGGTTAGCAGCTCAGGCTGCCGCCTCCAAAACACCCAAACCGATGCCCAGCAGCATCCAGTACGCTTTGCGAAAGTTCGAAAAAGGTTCCGTGGTCGAAAATGGCTTCAGCACCAATGGCCCGAAGAAACCGGGCCCGGTGGCTTCCAGTCCAGCAAAGAAATCGCCCAATTTTGGACAGATGACTGTTGAACAGGTAAGATCCAGAAGATTGAAGATACTGAGTGTTTTTCCAATCGGGAGCCCGTTCAGAGCAAAATAATAAGTTGAGTGAAAATTTAATTGAAATAATCACACAAACAAGACTGGACAAAAGAGCAGGCCATGGGGAATGAAGAACATTGAACATTGAATGAGTGGGGAAATTCAAGTAGTTTTGACACAGAAAGCGAAATTTGAATATCAGACAATTAGGTGCAAGATTGGGTCAAAATTTAATGTTTTCCGTACCGTTTTTGCTCATTTCTCGAAAGCAAAGTGAGCAAGAACCCTCATTTTTACATCATTCCTGAGATAACTAAATGGGCTTTTTAGAAAGTGAAGCATCGATATGGAAATGGCCGTTTGCTCACAAAAGCCGTGATTTCAAGAAGTTTTAGATTTGCGTGTTTTTTTTTTGAGTTGCAAAATTGACACAAACATGACGCTGCGTTTTTCGAAGTTTCTCGAGCCCCATTTGAGCCACAAAATTCGTTTCGGCATCGTTGGAAAGAAAATTGAAAATTCGATTCAGTCATAACAACATGAGTAAGGAAATTCGAGTAGCTTTAACCCAGAAAGCAAAATTTGAATATCAGACACTTAGGTGCAAGATTAAGCCAAACTTTCTTTTGTTCCGTCCCGTTTTTGCTCATTTCTGGGAAGCAAAGTGAGCAAGAACGCTCATTTTTACATCATTCCTGAGTAACTAAATGGGCTTTTTAGAACGTGAACCATCTATAAGGAAATGTTGGCAGTTTTCTCACAAAAGTGGTGATTTCAAGAAGTTTTAGATTTGCGTGCTTTTTTTTGAGTTGCAAAATCGACTCAAACATGACGCTGCGTTTTTCGAAGTTTCTCAAGCCCCATTTGAGGCACAAAATTCGTTTTGGCGTCGTTGAAAAGAAAATTGAAAATTCTCTTCAGTCATAACAACATGAGTAAGGAAATTCGAGTAGCTTTAACCCAGGAAGCAAAATTTGAATATAAGACATTTTGGTGCAAGATTAAGTCAAAATTTCATGTTTTCTGTTCCGTTTTTGCTATTTCTCGGAAGCAAAGTGAGTAAGAACGGTCATTTTTACATCATTCCTGAGATAACTAAATAGGCTTTTTAGAAAGTGAAACATCGATAAGGAAATGTTGGCAGTTTCCTCACAAAAGTTTTGATTTCAGGAACTTTTAGATTTGCGTGTTGTTTTTGAGTTACATAATCGAGTCATTCAGCAAGAACGCTCATTTTTACATCATTCCATGTTTTTATTAGCGTGTTTGTTTGACGTGCAGTATAGTTTTTGATGAGTTTCCCCAAAAGTTTCCTGTATTTCCAACAAAATGACGCAATAAAAATTGAAAAAGACGATATTTAGAAATGTGATGAATAGGAAGGAATGAGAACTGGCGAAAACCAATTAAAATTTATGAACTTTTCTAAGTACTCAACCGGACGTATAATTTTCAAAAAAGGACAATAAATAAATGCAGTGACTTAATAATGAAGCTATTTAATATTCACAACAACGTTTCAGTTGGCAGGTTTTCACGCGTACAATGATCCTCACCATTAATGCGTTTCCTTGCAACTTGGGCAATTATCTAACAAAATAAAACATGTTTAATTTGAACACTAGATAAAAGCCTGACAAGTTGACAGAATTTTTGGCCCAATTATAGCAGATTAAATTAGATTAGCCGTGACCTCTTCACCTCTTTGGCACCACACCACAATCAGTGATATAACGCAGACTTTGTTATGTGTTTTATCAATTTAACGCTTCATTATTCCCAGATAACGCAACAATAACAACAGATAATAGGCGATAATAGATGGACATTCTGAAATTGTTTTCTCGTTTCAAAGCGAGCTTTAGCCATCGAATGGAATTGTTGGATCGCGTTCCTCCTTAACTTAATAGCGTGACATTATACGGTATTTGACTACGTTTAGATTTTAATTAGGGTAATTACTTTTTGCGCTAAATTTCGCGTTGCATCATTACGCGAGGTATCGAAGGACGATCAATGATCGATCGGTTTTGAACATCAACGGCTGCTGCAGAAGAAATCACGCAAGGGCTATAAAAATAATAGAAAGGAGTTGCGTGTTGAAAACACCATCGTATCAACGATTTATAAGTAGCTGAGGAAATTCAGATGGTTGTTTAGTGAATAAAAACACGACTGAAGTGCCGGAATTGTCGCAAATTGAACTTAAACTTTCTTAGTGGCACAATGGGCCTCACTCATGAATAAACCGTAGTAAATGGTTTTACTTTAAATTTTTAAAGTCAAACCTTCGAAGTGTTTTCATCACACAAATTTCACCTGATCGTTCTCCTCACCTCACAAAGCATGTCCTTTATTTTATATTCAACCAGACAACAAAATATTCTTGTCTGGACTTGTTAAAACGTGTAGCACACAAAACACAACAGTCTAAATAACGAAGTAAATTATTTTCCTCGTACCTTTGGCTGCAAAGGATTTGTACTTTGTACATCGAGCAAATGCTCCATTTTTTTATTCATGATTCCCAATGAATGAACGGTATGAAACCTTGTGCACTTCAGGAGCTTTTTCTCCATCTGAAACTGAAGAAAATCCTGAATTTATTGAGCAAATCGACGTTTGCAATTTGAAACGAGCAAATCCGACGACACCAAATGGCATTTTCTAAGAAAAAAGTTTTAACTGCGATTAAATTAACTGAGTCAAGGTATGTGCCCTAATTAGTTAATAATGACCCAAATTCACCTGGGTAATGATGCCCCTGGATTATTTATGCGGTGAATAATAAATGGGTCGAGATGGGATAGGATAAACGTCTGCTGTACGTTATCGCATCCTGATTATTTCGCTATAATGGATCCGTTGGCTAATAAATGATTGATGAGGCCTCGTACATAGGAGTCGTTAATGAATTCGCGTGCAATAATAAGAGTTTTTGGCAGTCCATGCCATAACATTTTCCAGTTTTAAGAATCATGTGTTTTAATTAAATGAGGATAATAAATTGTGTCGATTTTTGACGCTTTGTCGCATTTTTCATCATCGTTTAGTCCTGCTCAACAAAGCCAGACTGAGTCTGAGAAAACGCTGAGTTAAAACTGTTTGGATTTTCCTCATCGAGGTACCACGTTTGTTCTCGTTTGTCGTTGTTTCATCCATGTGGTGCTGCTTTTTGTTTACTTCTGCTGTCTTCCTCTCGACATTGACTTTTAGTTTTTTGCCTGAATCCTCTGTGTGTTTTATAAACTGTGCTTTCGCTCTTTTACCTTGCGTTTGTTTTTTTAAGAAATATTTCATTGCTTATAAATGAAAGTATACACATGTGAATATATTCACAATTATACAGAGTGCGTCGGTTGAGAAGTTGAAGCGCAGATAACTACTTTTTTCTAATAGAACATCTGATATTTTATTTTTTAATTCTTATGTACATTTCAACTACTTTTTGTTATGCGAAATACGAAAGAAACATTGGATAGTTTTTAGGCTTTAACGATGAAAATTCGCGTTTTTATGGCGTTGATAAATAGTCAAATTTCTCCGTTGCCTTTTTTTAATAACAATTAATTTTTTTCCGATTTTTTCTGTACTCCTAAAACACCGCCAGACAACACCTCCAGAGGAAGGACGCCAATTTTGAATCACTCTGTACAAAATTTTTCTTAATTTGGCAGAAGAGACTACCAGTACTATATTAATATTTGGTGTGCAAAATCTTTATTGTTTAACCTACAGGGTGGTCATAATAATCGTACAAATTAATGTATTTTCAAGCTCAAAGCTCTCACTTTTTTAAATGGTCGCTCCTTTCATTGAATATTATTTTATCGTGAAAATACGAATTTTGCATCTTTAAAGCCGAATAACTAAAAAGCTATTAAATTTTCGTTCGTATTTTATATAACAAAAAGTAAATGGAGTTTACATAAGAAAACGAATATATAATAAATATACTGGTTTCCATTAGAAAAAAATATGTTTTTTGAGCTGCAACTTGCCTGACGCACTCTGAATAATTGTGAATATTTTGAAAATGTGTGCTAAACGCACATATTTTCAAAATACAGACTATGACAGATGAAAACGCTTTCTATCTACGCATTGTTGAAAAGTTACGCGGTAGACTTTAGATAAAATAAAAGATTGATAATTTTAGGAAATTTTGAGCTATATTTTAAAGTCGACAATCGGTTGTTTGTTTTAGTTCAAAACGTTTAGGCTTCAGGTGGAAAGAAACAGTGGAACTCTTGATAGATAAAGTAGTGGTTTTTAGCTAATAAAAGGAGACACTGATTGTGTAAAAAGTAAGGAAGAACATTCTTTATCAATCTGTAATAAAAAACGTCAGAAAATTCTGCCTTTTTCCGGGGCAAAACAATTTTGAGGCAAATACCCAACAAAACAGTTTTGGAAACTTGATATCTGATAATATAAAAATATAAGTCAAATACTGTCTAGTGAGGATTTTTAAACAAAAAATTAGTTAGAGAATTACATTCTTCAGTGAGAAAATAGAAAAAGATAACTAAGAAAATCCACGGTAAAATCAAACTACAACATTTGTTTATTATATTTTTGTTCCTTCCGGAAAATTGACCAGTTGCTCCTCTTCTATTTATACAGAGTGAGTCAGTTTATGACCGTAGATCGTTACTTGCAGACGAAAATCCTGAAACCGCTTGACTTTTCCCGTTTGACCGCAAAGTCATACAAAAACACACCGACACCAACTCGGACAGCAAAGCGAAAAACGCATCAAAACTCCGCAAAGCAAACACCACTAAATAAACCATCTGATTGTTTCAGACTTACTCATCACCACTGAACAAACCTACCATTGGTCAGAAACCTCAAATCTCGCCCAAACCAGCTCATCTTTCGGACACAATCGAAATGACTCTGCCACCCGAGCTGAGTCCCGGTTTGCAAACGTGGCCGCTCAAAAATCGAGTCATTTCCACGGAAAATGTGGGCAAAAAGTCTGGAAGTGGGCCGGGATTGGGCGCCAACACACCCGCACACACCAACAACAGTGCGCCCACCAACAGCCACTCACCCCTAAGTCCACACCAGTTTAGTCCCAGTTTGCAGACTAATAGTCCAGCTTTGAGTCCCGTTCAACCGGCCGCTGGACGGCTGTTTAATACTTTACCGCTGAAGTCATCGAAAACAACCATCGATGAGGTAAATTGTTGGTAGAATTTTAGAACACGATTTAATAGTGGGTAGTTGAAGCGACTGAACTAGACAATAACAGTGTGGTTTTGCTCAAATCGGAGCTCCAGTTGGAGTAGCAATAGAGTGGTTTCAGGCGTGAGAACCAAATCACACCAAATTTCAGCCAATTATTTGGTTCCCACGTTAAACCGTCTGACTGTCTACTGAAATAGTGTGTGTTTTGCTTTTAAATGTCTTGCAATAGATCAACAAGAAACGCTAAAAGAAAAAAGACTGGACTTTATTGAATTGATTGTTCGAATTTTCAAGATAACATCCTTTCCGTATTCTCTCTAAGAGAATCTATCGGGGTTCTAAGAAAAGGTCTTAATCCGGAACTGTGTTCGGTGATGTTAAAAATCTGTATCTTTGGCTACAAAAGTGACTTTTTGATGGATTCCGGCCTTTATAACAACTGCACCTGCATAAGATTTTCCGATGAATCTAAACATATTCTGGCAATCGGACTTGCCTCGTGCGCTCCAATTAAAATAAAGAAAACTTCGAGACGCTCTAATGTATGCAGTCCCTAATTGACTTCGTCTGTTAACAAGTGCTGAGTTGCAAGTTGCTGAACCGACAGCGACGGCCATTAATTTTAGCTGTTTTCGTTCGATCCATCTTACTGGAAATGTGTTGATCAGATTAAGAGAAAATGTGATTTTCTCAAAAATCGGCCAAAAACTGAGCTTTATTCAAATTTCATAAAAGTTCACGATTTCTGCATGATTTTGACCGAACAGGTACAGTGTCATTCTGTATTATTATGTAAAGACTATTGAGTTCGTCACGATTGAGAATTTTTAGATATGATATAGTACGAAGAAAACCATGAAGTTTTTTAGAATCTCGATTTTCACTTTTTCGTTCTCAATTTATATTCACTTTTCTTTATAGAAAATGTTCACAACTTTGAAAAATTGATTTAGTTTGGTCTGTTTTCTTGCGTTTAGCTTGGAAGAACTGTTAAAGACTTTGGCTCTGTTGCCCCGAAGGAAACGATCTTCAAAATGCTCTCTTTTTTGATAACGAATTTTTCGGAAAAATATGCATGTGCTTGGAAAACCTGATTCACTTTAATAGCGGAAAAGGCACAAAACGTGTTTTAATAAAACGGCAACAACATGTAAGACCAGTCAATAGGTTTTTAAGATTTTACGTAAAATTGGTTTTTAGGTTCTCAACTTTAACACTGTGTGCGCCAAAAATAAAACATTTTTAAACACATTTTCACAGATATTTTGAATTTTTTCTAGAGATCGTGTTTTTGTTCTAGTTAAAAGGCCAGAACATTAAGCGTTAGTAAATTTTGAGCGCACCATCTGGAATATGAAACGAAATTCTCCATATACTACAAAACCATGTAATTTTTTATAAACTACCAGTACTTTATATTTATTTTAACACTTTAATCGCAGATGATCGCGCAAACTGACTTAACTTTTTTTTAAGAAAAAAGTTCTTCAGAGTTCTTCAGAAAAATTACGTTTTTGGTAATATCGGGAGCATGTCAGATGGATTTTAACGGAACTTGCTGAGCCATCAGTTTTATTTAAGGCGAGTATATTTGATAAATCTGCGACACTCATCCGCATTGGAAGAACGTTTGAGTGAAAAGATTCTTGATTGTCTTCGAACAAAAACTTGCATAACTTTTTCCTAGGCAGGTTGAATCAATTCATTTCTTGTGTCGATTAAACATGAACATTTTCCCGAAATGTTCGTGCTGTTGTTCAAATTTTGTAAACTTAATAGTTTTTGCGAAAACAATTTTTTTCGGTTTCCTTGCAGAAGCTTCCACCATTTGAGTTTGATAGAATACTTTTGCCGCTATACTGAACTCCACTAGTCGAGATTTTTTCACAGATTCATTACCAGACGTGGTATTTTGAATTTACATAATTTGCACCATTACGGAGAAGAAAACGCTCATGCGAGGCGTATGAAGCACTTGCAGAAGGAATTTTGGATAAATGTTTGGGCTGGCATGTTTCATAGCGTCCTTCTGAGTCTTGATGAAAAACTATCCCAATTTTTAATTGAAAGAAAAAATTAAAAAGGCCGCGAATGATCCAGAAATGATTAGTAGCACTCAATTCAATATTTCATATCGAATATCTTTTGCTTTGCCGATACCCGAATTTTTTTTTTATGAGAAACCGCTGTCGTTTACAGGATAATCACCCATTTTCAAGGGAGAATTATGCCTTTCTTGAGTGCTTGTTTACATTCTGGGCCCGTTGATCAAAATTATTTCATAAAATAAAATGATTTTTGGTTCTCTCCGTAATAGATTTTTACTGACACTCAAATCAATTGATATCAGTAAAGTTAAACATTTTTTGTGCATAAACTATGAATCCTACCGGATTTCCCAAAGAGTACCAAAACCTCTAGAAGGGATTAAAGCATCCATAAAAAAAACCCGAAGCGATTCGAGCTGCCAAGTAAAAAGTGCTGATAAGTTTTAGGATAAGTCTGGAAGTCGCTCAAGAATTTACCATTTTTCCAAAGCTGGTAGACGCGGCGGCAACTTTATAAAAAAATAAGTCGACCGTAAAATTCTAGCAAATTTACAAAAAACCATCATTTTCGTCAAGAACCTTGACCATCGATAGCAGAGGAACCGGAAATTTTTTCTGTACAAAAGTTCGGGAATATCGATTTCTTTTGAGCCAAATCATGGAGCAGAACCATTTTTGATCAGGTTCTTACGGGACACCCGGAATATCTTCCACATTTTGAGCCACAAAATTCGAGCATGCATTTACGTGCATTATTATCGATACTCTGTGTATTCTTAAATGGAAAAATCACAATTATCTGGTTTAGAAAATGCGAGCAACTCTCTTGTTTACGCGTGTTTATGCGGGTCTCAAATGTAACTCAGAGGTTTAAATTATACTTTTTTTAATTATACAGTGGTCGAATTCCGTCAAAAGTTTCGCTTTCCTACTTGGCTTCAATTTAAATTGGGCGCATGTTTTTTTAGAAGCCAGGCTTTGAAGGCAAAAAGAAGCAATTGACAACGTCTCCCAAATTATATTGAGGATGATCACACTTTAACGCAAAATAAAGGATAAAACGCGTTTTTTATTAATCTCGTAGTCAGTTAGTGGAAACACTGAGAAAAGTCCAGCAGAAGACAACTTCTCGACTCTCTCTGCACATTAGTTTATTTGTGCGTTTAAAAGTTCTTCTATTGTGCAAAAATGCTTTTCAAAAAGAGTCCAGTTATAAATTTCTGCGTAAATTTCAGGTAGCACTTGAGGAAAAAAGGCTGATAAACGCGCTCAAAAATGGGGACGTTGTGAACGAGGAACCCATCATTACTCAAATACCCAGCAAACATATAATTCGGGAACCCGAGAAGGCTTCAGAAGGCACCACGAAATGGGGCCTGAGAAGTACGTCCAAAAGACCCGAACAGCAGGTGAGCCAATCAGCCGCTCGATTTTTCCTTTAGGGAACTTGAAGTCTCCTCCTCAGGTACCTCATCCGGAACTGACCTCAAGCCAAAGACTGCATTTGCGCCAAACAGCAGCCAATCCCGTCAGGCCTTTCCTCACACGTGGCTCTGTCGCTGAGCGGGTGCTGATTTTCGAAAGATGTCCCAGCGATTTGTTGCTGGATAAAAGAGTGCGAGCGCCGGTACCTCAAACGAGTAAACCACAGGTGGGTACCCAGTGCTAGGATTTTTCTTCCATTAGTCAGAGTCTGGATAGTAAAATTATTCATTGTACATACTTTCCTGACTGTGTTTCAATTCTAAATCAAAATTAATTCCTGGGTTTCAGTCATTTATTGTCTCTATTTATCAATTAAATGACACCCTAAAGTTTACTCTCGAAGAAGATAAAGGAAATTCTATAAACTTTCTAGACCTAACAATTAATTATGATAACAACGGGGAAATCAAAACAAATTGGTACACAAAGGAGGTATGGTCTGGTAGGTACCTGAATTATCAATCGTACGCTCCAATGAAATATAAAAGAAGTGTAATAACGGCACTTACAGATAGAGCCATTAAATTGTCACATTGGGAGTATAGAACAAAAAATCTTGAAAAAATTAAAAATATATTATTAATAAACAACTATCCAAGGTCATTTTTTGAACCAATCATACAGCAAAGGATAAATAAAATATACAATTCAACTAAATGGAAAAACATAAATAAAAGAAGAGAAGGTGATATCAAGTATATATCATTACCATATATT